TTTAAATAGTTTTTAACTCTTTTGATTTTGCCTATGTAGATGCTTGATCTCCGTATGAGGTAGTATCCTTAAGTGTTTGGTTTTGTAATCAGACAAACTTGGATTCAAGCCCTGCTTATATCTTTTAATAGCTATCTGATCTTGGGCAAATCACGTACCCTCCAAGAGCTCCAGTCTCCTCTGTAAAATGAGGATGATGATGGCACCCCCGTCTCATATGAGTATGAGGATTAAAAGAGATAGGGCATGTGAAGCCCTTGCCCCAGACCTTCAGTAAATATTAGCTACCATTGCTTGTAGCTTCTGCTGCCGTTGTTATCCTCATCATCATTATTTAGAAAATTGCCACTGTCTCTTGACTTTTATTTTAAAGAAATTTTTAAAAGTTTGTCAATACTTAATAATGAGATGGGAAAGAAAGTCCAATTATTTAGTAAGATTGAGGCAACAGCTAACATGTGGCAGGAAATGAGTGTTTGCAGCTCATTAATTATCATCCTGAATGATAAATTAGGTTCAGGTTGTTGATGAATTTTATATAAAGTGCTTGAGGTTTTTGGTCATGCTGCAAAACTAGAATTGATAATTTCACTGAAATGCTAGTTTAATAATCTCACAAAATGCTGAGTCCTGCAAGTGTTCTTCTTAGAACTCCATTCGTCTCATATAGACAGAAGGAGGATCTTGGGGCAAGCTTGGATGAGGAGCTTTCACTCACAGAGACTGAGCACTTGCTGCAAATTGTGTGACGGAGGTTTGGTTCAGAGAGCAGTTTGCACAAGGGGAAAGGCAGGACACCTATCTGTCAGAATCAATCATTCTGTGTAGACCTTGTCTCAGAACTGTTCCACATAGATTACTTTTTTCTTCTAATTAGATGTATTTTCCAATGATGTATGTCCTAGTAACATCTCTGGTACCAGTTATGAAATTCTGAGATGCTCTACTGCTGAGTTTTTCAAAGATCAGGGATCCAGGTCCAACATCCTCATAATTTGTCTAGGTGCTAAGTGAATGGAGTACTTAGAAAAGGCCTTTATTTAAGAGGAAAAGAACTTGGCTAGTTTTCATTGTGCCAGTACTTCAGAGCTTTTAGTGTTAGTCTTTCTTATCATATAGTTTTCAGTTCTGATTGCAAAGGATTTCTTTGAGAAGGGGACATTTCCAGTTACTGTTATTTCTTTGCTGAAAAGAAATGTTTTAAGAGCAGTAAAGTGATCTCAGCAGCTGGACCAACCAGGCTGTGAGACAGATTTAGGCCAAAGATGAATGAAATTGGATAAGTTGGCTTTATGGCAAATGCCTGTAGACTTCGCATATCAGCAAAACAAGGCAGGACTGCAGGCTTTTCCCTAGCTATGTGTACTCTAAGGGGTTACCTTGAAAAACTTTTCAGTCCATAAATGCTGAGACATTAACAATCTGGCTACTCTTACCTTCCCTCACCCAGACAACTAACCAACCCTTCAGGAAGTTGTTCACCACCATTTGCCAATTCTTTTTTACCACATTGCTCACATGTTGAGAGAGGAGACCACTGAGACTTCAGAGATTAATTCTGTTTAATGCTTTCCCAAGTCTGAACAAACTCCTTTCAGTGTGCCAAGGAGCTGAATGGTTTTCTTCTCAGGGGATCTCGAATGAACACTATGTATGAGTAAATCTCTTCCAAGAGGGAAAATAACCGAGGTATTGATTTAGAAGGTGACCACAGGGCCACCGTATGATCCATCGTATGTTTCTGGTGTGCAAACCGTTGTACTGCTAGTGAATCAACTCATAATGCCTGGCACAGGATGCGGTCCGGACTGCAGTGGCACTTCTCTAATTACTTTGTAAAGAAATGGAATAGTAAGTGCTGGATATCATTCAGAGCTAAAAGGCACGTCCTTCCAACATTGACTCCTCCATTTTAAGATAAAATTTCCTACTGTATAATCCTAGAAGAGCCAAGGTACTATCTGTAGGGATATAAATCAGGACCAAGAATAACTTTTCCATACCAAATGAAGGTCCATTATAATATCCCTAACCTACTCCTAGATATGATTCAGAAAGACTACTAAGGAATGTGTTTTACTATGGAGATTAAACATAATTCACAGTGTTGTTTAAAAATATTAGTTTTCCCTATTTATATCGATCAGTAGTCAGCAGGAGCCCAAATGCCTGATAAGTTTACTGACCTCTAGGCTAGGAAATTCTCAGAGAACATAGGAGGAATATTTGTTTCCTGATACAAATGCCCCTTATTGTACAGTAGAAGATATTTTGTTTGGCAAGATTTCCTGAATATCTAAGGAGTCATTTAAGCTATAATAATAGCAAAGTGTCTTAATAGTTAGTTTAGGAAAGCCCTTAGCATTATGAGCTAGAGATATCGTAGAGCTGCAAGGAATGTCTTTGTAAATGTGTTAGATTCAGCTTTGTGCATTCAGGGTAGAATTGTATCCATGAGCCAAATAGTAATCTTAACATTAAACATTTAATGTTCCAATTCCACTCAGCTTTTTGAATCTTAAAAATATCTAAAGGCATAAATAAGAGGAATTAGTTTTCACATAGAACTAACTATGATTCGTTTTAATCATCAGTCATTTCACTGTACCTGAATTCCTGACCAGTAACTACTAAGTCCTAAACTTGAGTTTGACCTGCATTTATTTACACGGTTTCTCGTGGGAGCAAGTGCCCCTTCAACAGAAGCAAAGATAGTCTCATTGTAGCAGTTTCTAAAATAGCTATCAACTCATGCAGCTTAAATGGCCAACAATAAATAATGAGACATCTGATCAGTGAGATAGTATCAAGTGAGATCAGTGGCCCTTGAACAGAATAATTAGGATGACAATCAGAAAAAGGGTCTGGTAAGTGGAAACAGTGAAGAGGTTTTTTGGGGGGTTTTTTTTTGAGACAGTCTCACTCTGTCACCCTGGGTAGAGTGCAGTGGCATCATCGTAGCTCACTACAACTCAAATACCTGGGCTCCAGCAATCCTCCTGCCTCAGCCTCTTGAGTAGCTGGGACTACAGGAGTGTGCCACCATGCCTGGCTAATTTTTTCTACATATTTTTAGTTGTGCAGCTAATTTCTTTCTATTTTTAGTAGAGACAGAGTCTCGCTCTTGCTCAGGGTGGTCTCAAACTCCTGAGCTCAAACGATCCTCCCGCCTCGGCCTCCCAGACTGCTAGGATTACAGGCATCAGCCACCATGCCCAGCCAGCAAAGAGGTTTATATGCTATGATTACAACTATGTAAGAGTATGCATGTAGGCAAAAAGTGGGAGGTGATATGAAAATAGTTGCATTTGGATAGGATGGTGACATGTCGTGCTTTTTTGCTGTATTTTTAAAGAATGTTCCTGGATGTTATGTTGAGTTTTTAAATGATAATGATGATAAATCCAACCCTAACAAAAAAAAAAATGAAAAAACCGGGGGTTTTTCTCTCATAGTTATTCCTCATAAAATTGGCCGCGTCATAGAAGGAAGTCCAGCTGATCGCTGTGGAAAACTGAAAGTTGGAGATCACATCTCTGCAGTGAATGGGCAGTCCATTATTGAACTGTCTCATGATAACATTGTTCAGCTGATCAAAGACGCTGGTGTCACCGTCACACTGACGGTCATTGCTGAAGAAGGTAAGGAACCAATAGACCTGCCTTTCCCAAGCTGATCTGAGGGCCACAGGGCTTCCTCCAGCATCGCCAGAATCACTGCAGTGATAGAACTATATCTCATTCTTTGTCTTTTCCATTTAATGAACTTAAAAGACAGTTAAAGTTGTTAGCAGTTCAAGAAAAATAATCCAGCTAGTGAGTGGTAGCCATTTATTTATGTGCTGGAGAATCAAGCACTCAGAAGTAAAAGAGATTGGTAATACTTTTCAGATCTTATTTTCTTAAAATAGTGTCTTTAGTCTCTGCTCAAGTGAGAGAAAATCATTTAAACGGTTCAAAGAAAATCACTGTTGATGTCAAGCCTTTTATGTCAGGCCCATGCCATAGTATGCCTTTGCTTGGGGGCAGGGCTTTGTCCTGGGCAGCTGCTGTGTAAACGGGGGAAGGCTTGCGTAGGAATGGCTAGAGAATAGGGCATAAAACACACGCTGGCAGCCCTGGAGTCTCACAGATGTGTTTAATGTTAATGTCTTGCCTTGTGTTAAAGCTGCCTTTCGATCATTAAGAATTTCTAATTAGGAACCATTTTGAACCATAATGTTCTTGTCATTTTTCCTGATTTTGTAAAACTGACGAGAAGGCAAAAACAGAATTATGAAGTTTCAGTCTTTTAAGTTAAAATACCTCATACTATAATGTGCATTCATGTTCCATTTTCCACCATGACCCTCCAATCTAATTGGTTTTTAGATCTTTTACACTTCTTGATTCTATCTTTCTTTTCTGTTCCTACTGCGTCATTGTCATACGTTTATTTCTAAGGTATTACGTAAATCGTCTTTCTGTTCAAGATACTGTAGGGCAGTATTTCTGCGTGGATATCAGTTCACCTGGTTACTCCCTGAGCCCCTTTCCAGTTCTGGGTAGGACCCCAAGACACTGTGACATCCCTGCCTCTGTTCTTTCCCTTCTCTATTCTGTTCTCACACTCCTCTGAGACTCTGCTGACTCTTCCAAAATCCTCCTCCATGGAAACTCCAGTGCTTCCCCACTCTGCACAGTACGTGTTCTATGATTTTGCTCCCAGCCTGCCTTTTAAATTTACCTCCCAGTATTCTCTCCAGACCCTTCTTAGCGGGGCCTCATTGGCCTCTGTGCAGATGGGCTTCCTCCCCCTAACTCCCATAGCACTTCCCGTTATGCAGTCCAGATAAGTGTCGCCTTACTAACATGGTCTGCTCTTTTAAGACAAAGAAAATATTGGTTGACTATGATACTTAGTAGGTGCTCAGTAAATATTTTTTGAATGAAGGAATGAGTAAATGAATGAATAAACAAATGAATAAGTAAATGAACAAAGTGAAAGTTGGGAAATTTTAGTTCTGAGGCCTTCTGTGCCATTACCTACGCAGAGGCGATATAAACCCTATGGAAGAAGTAAGTCTTTTGACAAGTTCAGTGACACCTATTAGCTAGTTGTATGACAAACAGGCTACTCAACATTTTAATCTTCAGTTTTTTATCTATAGAATGGGAGTAGTAAGATCTATTTCAGGATCATGGCAAGGGTTAAAGGTGAAAATGTACATAAGCTACAGAAATACTCTAAGGTGCTCATGTAATGATACCTATCATTATTTTACCTGCATGACTGGCTCCCTCATTCAGGTCTCTGTTTAAATCTCACCTCCTAAGGAAATAATAACAATATTTAATAAGTATTTACTATGTGACAGGTACCCTCCTAAATACTTTACTTACATTAACTCATTTAATACAGTAATCCTAGGTAAGCACTATTATTTCCCTATTCTTACAGATGGGGAAACTGAGTGACAGAGCAATTAGACAGATTGCCTGTGGTCATAAAATTAATAAGTAACAGAATGAGTATTTGATTTAGGCAATCTGGCTTTAGAACTTGCGCTTTAAACTACTGTGCTTTCCCAACCATAGTACCTAAAATAACCCTTCCCTCTGCCTGCTCCAGTGCTCCTCTAATCCCTTTCCCTGCTCTACTTCTCTTCATTGCACATATCTCTGAGATTATTTAGTTTTTTTTTTTTTCTTTATTGTCCATCTCCCCCACTAGAATGTAAAGTCAGCCAGGCGCAGTGGCTCATGCCTGTAGTCCCAGCTACTCAGGAGGCTGAGGTTGGATCACTTTAGCCCAGGAGTACAAGACTAGCCTGGGCAACATAGCAAGACCCCATCTCTAAAAAGACCAAAAAAAAAGTAAAGTCAGAGATTCATGAAGTTACATATTTTATCGTGTAAGTGCTCAATAACATTTTTTGAAATGTTATTCAAATGGGATTTCAGGCAAATTTCTTTCTCGTTGTTTCTTTACCATGATCTCTATAGCCTGCATTCTAGCCTTAACATTTGTTCTGTGGCCCACAGAGAAAAGCAGACATCTGTGCCACAAGAAATAACATTGTAGGGTTATTCTGAGAATGATATATATAGTGCATTTATATCACCATACCTGGCATTCAGTAGGCATTAAGTGATAGAATTGTCCAGAAATAGCAGAACTAGCAGTAGTGCAGATCAGTCATCTATAGAAAACCATCAGTGTCTTTTTCCCAATCCACCTAGACCAGTATTTTTTTGAAATACAATAAAAATTACATGAAAAAATTTTTAAATGACATAACATTATTTTGTCAAATTGTTATAAAATTTTCTAAATGCTTGCTGTCAGTATCTGTGTGTATCTTATTGCTGACTGACAAACCACACTTTAAATACCCTTGGGATAGATTAGTTAGGAAAAAGACCAGTTCTTTCTCTTAGTATAATTTTTTTTCAAAATTACTGTTTATTATTGATAGTGTTTTCTCTAAGACATTATCCAAAATCGCTCATCATTTTTCTTAATATGAAAGTTACCTTTGACATTTTGGCCCAGATACTTCTGGACAGACTCTTAAGATTTCCTGCGTAATGTCAGTGTTCCGAAGAAGAAATAGAAGGGTGGAAAGAAACTCCCTAGCAGATATATATCCTTAAAGTATATTTTACATGAAGGCACACAGCCTCTTAAAATATAATCACATTTGATATGTAAAATCACATTTCAGCGATTACACATTATTTTATTATATGCTAGGATTTTTTTAAACTAGGAAAACATTTAGAATCTCTTATTTTTCTTAGGAAAAAATAGAAAGTCTCCCTTCTGTTCATAAAAATCTCATTCATGGAGTTTCTAAGCCTTCCAAGTTTATGACAGAATTCAGTACAAAATCTATCAACTGGACTAAAGAGTCAAATGAATATTTATAGTTCTGAATCTATTTTCAGAAATCACACATTCAGATCAATACCTTAGAGTAGCATTGCTTCCCATCTCATACTGCCCCCTGCTCTCCATAAGCTATTCACTATTGGTAGGTAAAAAACAAGTACCTGGAAAAAGAACAATACTTATTCCCTCCAACCTTCCCTCCCCCACCCCCTTTGCTAGATACTGTTTAATATTTGTGCCTGTTTTGCTAAGGAAATGGCAAGGCAAGTGTCATGTCTCATGTAAAACTCACAAACCACAGTCATGACTTGTGACTGTGTCTATCTTATAGCATCCCCCACAACAACACCTATTCTACCACCATGACATTGTGTTTTCCAGTATAGAACATAAATTTACTATGCCTGGTAGTACCTGCTTACTGTAGAGAAACCTTAAAATTGTATTATTTTTCAAAATTGATTTCCAGTTATTTTGGTATAAATTTAAGGAGTACAAGTGCAATTTTGTTATATTGGATATATTTGTGTAGTGGTAAAGTCTGGGCTTTCAGTGTATTCATCACTTGAATAATGTACCTTGTACCAATTAAGTAATTTTTCATAACCCAGACCCCTTGCCCCCACCCTTCCAAGTGTCCAATGTCTATCATTCTGCATACTCTAGGTCCATGTGTACACATGATTTAGCTCCCAGTTATAAGTGAGAACATGCAGTATTTAACCTTCTGAGTTGTTTCACTGAAGATATTGGCTTCCAGTTCCATCCATGTTGCTGCAAAAGATATAATTTCATTCTTTTTATGGCTGAATAGTGTACCATTATATATATATACCACATTTTCTTTATCCAATCATCCATGATGGCTGCTTAGTCTGATTCCATATCTTTGCTATTGTAAAGAGTGCTGCAACAAACATGCAAGTGCAAGTATCTTTTTGATAAAATGATTTATTTTCCTTCCGGTAGATACCCAGTAGTGGGATTGCTGGATCAAATGGTAGTTCCATCGATTTCTAATTTTTGTCAGGTCTTGTTTATCTTATTTTTAAGAGTGAACATGAGTTACCAAAGGCTGCCAAGGAATCTCCATTTTGCACTCTAATTTCTCTCACTGCTCCCACTGGCAACCATTCTAATATGTTTTATGTGTTCCATTTTGTTTTTGTTTCTTCTTACGTACATCTTTTGTTGTGTGTTGGCATTTATTTTCAAGTTACATAAAAGTTATAGATTTTATGCTAGATTTTTCTGAGAACCGTGGTTTTTTGTTTGTTTGTTCGTTTTAATGTCTTTTTACTCTTCCAGGACCCAATCCAGGATTCCTCGTGACATTTAGTTGTTGTATCTTCTTTTTTCTTTTTAATTGAGATATAATTCACATACTATAAAATTCATTATTCTGAGGTATACAATTCAGTGTTTTTCAGTATATTCACAAGGTTTTGCAATCATCACCAGTTCCATATTTTATCACTCTAAAAAGAAACTCCATAACCATTAGAAGTTACTTCTCATTCTTTCCAAACCCCCCATCCCTGAAAAACCACTAATCTACTTTCTCTCTGTATGGATTTGCTGGGCATTTCACATAAATAGAATCATACACTATGAGGCCTTTTGTGTCTGGCTTCTTTCACGTAGCAAAATTTTTTCAAGGTTCATCTGTGTTAAAGCATCTATCAATATTTCATTCCTTGATGGACATCTTTTCATGTGCTTATTGACTATTTGTATATCTTCTTTGAAGAAATGTCTCTTTAAATCC